GATGAATATACTTCATACTTTTTTTCTCAGTAATATAGCGTATGAACCTTTGAGGGACATTTAAGACTCAAACTACAGCGGTATTATTCAGTGTCCATGCTGACATGTCAGTTCCTCTGTAATCACTTCAGAGATAACAAAGTTTAGGTTCTATGAATATTTATTTAACTTTTTCCTATTTTAAGTTCTGTCAAATTATTCAGTATTATTAACAACGCTGTCCTGACCTGAAAACACTTTGATATAAATCGTGGCTCACCATTAATAGTATTTTTTTTTCTAGTTTTAGAAATACAATTGCTGAGTCAAAATTATATGGGCTTAATATTCTGATAGATACTCTCCTTCAGAAAGTTGCAGCCCTTTATTCTCTCAACAATACCCAAAAATAAAAGCATCCTTTTTGTATGTTTCCAGGTATAGAAAAATTAATTTATCCTCATTTTAAGTTGCATTTTCCAAATTGTTGATGACTTTTGAGATATTTTTCCCAATGCTTAATCAGTATATGTATTCTCCATTGGGTTTTCCATTTTTTATGCTGCAACTATCATTTGTGTTTCATTTACATTATGTATAAACCCACAAGACAGTATTTTAAACAGTTACATACTTTTTTCTTCACCTTGGCATTGAACCTAGGGCTTCATGCATACTAGGTAAGCCCTCTACCACTGAGCCACATCCCCAGCCCTTTTTACTTTGATTTTGAGACAGTCTTGTTAATTTGCCCCAGGCTACATTTGGATTTGCAATCCTTGTGCTTTAGCTTCTGGAGTAGCTGGGATGATAGGCATGAGCCACCATACAAAACTACAGTTTTTAAATTAAGATAAATGGAATAATCTTTTATAGTTTCCCCAGATGCGAACAATTCCAAGAAATCTTCATTTCTTCCTGAAGAAATGAGTTTCCAGCTGGTGCTACATTCTTTTGTCTATAGAAACTACTTTAGCTTCTAGACATGGCTCCTGGCTATGAATTTTTTAAAAGATCTCTTTTATCTGAAACTGTCTTTATTTCACCTTCATTCTTAAAAGATACTTTTGATTCATATACAATTTTGCCTTGACATTTGTTCATTAATCCAGCATTTTAAAATATCTTTCTATTTTCTTCTAGACTTCATAGTTTTGATGTTAGATGTATTTCAAACTGCTACTGTTGTATTTGGCCTATGTACACATTTTGTTGCCAGACATGTAATAAAAAATTCATAATAGTGGAAAATAAGTATTCTTATATATTTATTAAATTTAAATTACTCACATGACACAAATATTTTTATTATGTAAATGTTATTATGGCATAGAATAAAAATTAAGGTCCTCTTTCATTTCTCATCATCTTCCCTTTCTTCCGAATTCCACACATTTCTCTGTGCCTTAATACAACTTTCATCACCAGAGCTAATCACTGTTATTAGTAGGTTCATATTTTTCAGACTCTTTTTTATCTACCTATACACACATAAATGTACAAAAGAATATAGTTTTGTATTATTTTTATGTAAATTTATCATATTGCACACAAAGCTTAGCAGTATGCATTTTTTACTTTACAATATGCCTTAAGAATCAGTATTGACCTTTATTATTTTTTAATGATCACATATCCACTATGTGATGTTATCATGATTTATATTTTTTCTCTATTTAAAGAGTAAAAAATGATTGTTAAATGGCTCATTATGGAAACGTATGTGACCAGAGGTACTATACATTCTCAGAAAGTAGAATGTCATATTGAATGGTATACACATTTAATATTTTAATGAATACTGCCATCTTGCTTTCCCAAATAGACGTTCTGATTTATACTCTAAATGGAAGTATTGTAGAATTAAAATTTTCCCACAGCCTACCTGGCCAACCTGGCTATTATTAATGTGTATAATATCTGCCTAATGGAAAAAAAGCAGATTTTATTATTTGATTTCTTTTCTTTTTTTATTAATTTTATTGGTACATTTTAGGTATGCAATACAGTTGCATTCATCATTGGAAATTTGCACCTTTACATAATCTCTCTTGGTTCTTATTTTTATCCCCATTCCCCTGCCCTCCCTTCAACCCCTCCACTCCTATTTACAAAGGTTTTTGTTTCCATTTTTTCATTTTCTCATATTAATTCCATTCCCTTCTTTCCTTTCCCTTACCCCTCCCACTTCCCCTTGAATACCTTTTCTGTAGCACTTGTCACACTTTCAATCCCTGATTTTGCGTATTTAATGTCTTCCCCAGTCCGTAGGCTTGATTTTGTTACCAGTGTATCCCTAGAACATGTCAGTTTATACACACTCACACACACACAATGTTTGCAAAAATAGGGGTTTATGAAGTGATTTGGTAAGTTGTTTTTTAAATTTTTGTATCATTAAATTGCCTATTTTCATATTTTTCCATAACAACTATTTTACCTTTATATTTTATTGATAAGATCCCTTATATACTATAAACGTGATAACAATTTTTGTCTAGTTTCTAGTTATTTTTTCTAGTGCTAACTTTTTAAAAACTTTGTCATTCTCTTTTGTCTTTAAAAAGTTTTTATGCTTATGTGATACTATGTTTCTTTTTTTTTCTTCTGTTATGAATTATTTTCTTTGGTGATAGAAGCTGTCTATAAATAAGGAATACCCAAGGAAACTCATGGCCTCAATTTTCTGTAATTAAATATTCTGATAATTACATAGAAGCCACATCTTGGTCTTTAAATGTGCCTTATGGTTCATGTTTCTTCTGCTTTTGACGTAGTTTTCATCTGCCCAAGGTTTGTTTGTTTGTTTGTTTTGAGACAGGGTCTCTCACTATATAGTTGAAGCTGGCCTTGAACTCACTATGTAGCATAGGCTGGACTCAATCTCCAGGCAATCCTCCTGCCTTAGCCTCTTGAGTGCTGGAATTACAAGTGTACACAACCACAGCCGGCCCCAACTGCCGAAGTTTAATGATCTTTCTTCCGCCACTTTATTTGGGATAATCCATTTGCTGCTTTCTATTTTCAAATAATTTATCAAAGTATTTTATCCACTTAGGGCACACTTCTGTTCAGCACTGCCCCCCCCCCCCGCATTTTTAAGGTAAATTGTCCTCTTCAAAACATTTTGTCTTTATTTTATTTAATTTTTACTTTTTTGGTAGTGTGTATTTACAATACATAATAGTCACATTCCTCGTGGGGAGTTGGTACACATACATAAGGCATCTTAATTCCTATTCATCCTCTTCTCTTCCTTGCCCTTCCTTCTCTCAATTCCCTTCCCCTTTGTAAAAAGATCCATCTATTTATTTCCTATAATTTAGTTCTTTATTTACCTTTTGAGATTCTCATATAAGAGAAACTACGCAATAATTAATCTTGTGCTTCTGATTTATTTAACTTAACATTATCATATCAAGGGACATCCATTTAATTATAAAGGATTTGGGAAAAGAAATACTGGAAGAGGGTTGATATAAGTGTGTTTAGTTTACTATCATGACTCAATCTCCAAACTTTTAAAGAGCTAGAAATTAATAGAAACATGTTAACTCATTTCTAATTCTTAAAGAATATCTAAATGTTTTAAGAGGCAGAAAAATTTTTAATGAGAAAGGCAAAGAGCCAAATCACTAATATAAAAATTAAATACCAATTTATACTTTCATTTTTAATAAAGGAAATTAATATATTTTCATTTACATATTGGTGTATGGGAACACTCAGGCTTATTTTATTTTTAAAACATTACTTATTTTCCATAGTTGTTTGTAGTTCATCTTTAAAAATTCCTGATTTTTGCAAAATTGATTATATTTTAAATTATTTCTCTATAAAATTTGACCTCTTTATATGCTCTTGCATTGAAAATTTATATTTAAAGACTCTTAATTTTTTAACATAGGTTTTCCTAACAGTGACAAAAATTGAATTTTCTACAACTTCAATGCAACCAAGCAAGCAAGCTCCTTAGCATGTAGGAGACAACATGAAAGAAGCAGACTTTTCCTTTGGTTGTGCAGGGATCTAGATTTGTGAGTACATGGGGCTTTTGCTAGTTGTAAATCCATTTCTCGGTCCAGTTCTCCAATGCCCTTTGTCTTAATGCATTTTCCTTTGCTATAACAAAATATCCAAAGATGGTTAATTAAAAAGAGAAGAGGTTTATTTAGCCCAGAGTTTTAGCGATTGAAAGTCCAAGATCTGGCAGCACCTGTTTGGCCTCCAGTGAGGGTTCTCTTGGCTGCTTCATAAGGTAATACCATAGTGGGAAGGGCAAAGGCTTATGTCAAAGTCAAGCACATGGAGGTGGCCTTGCTTTGTAACAACTCACTATGACCTGAACATACTGGAGTGCCATGAGAACTATATTAATCCTTTCTGAGGATGGCACCCCAAAACTGGAGCACCTTATGCTAGGCCTTACCTCCTAAAGGGTCCACCACCTAAGCACTGCCAAACTGGGGCCCAAATTCCAGCCACGAACTTTTGGAGGACTCACTTAACCCATAGTCAAAACATATTGCCTTCCTATGGAAGATACTTCACCTTACTGAGAAGACATTTTTGTGCTTGAAGCTTAAAGGAAAGATTAGAACTTGGTTCTTCCAGATAGAGATAAGTACAATTGTGTTCATTACATTGCATTTGTAACAAATTTTCCATTTAACTACTTACAAACCTGTTAGAACTTCCAGCTCTTTCTGTATTTCATCTTGGTGATCTTGTGATGGTTCTATCTTGGTCTCTGTATTATTAGTGGTTCCTATAGCTCTGTTGGTTTTATCATAAATTTGATCCCATTTACATATCTTCAAGATATTCCTAAATGATTACCTGTTTCCCTGCTCTATGGTATCTTTTTTTTTTTCATGTCTTCTATCAACTTAATATGAGTTTAAGATAAAGGAAATAGAATTATATGCATTTAGTCAATCAATTTTCTTTGATTGGAAATTTACAGTTAACATCAAAACAAAAACCCAAAACACATACTAATGAAGATGATTTTATTGGGTTACAGGATAAAACATACATAAAATATTTGGGTAAAATGTAGCCATATATTAAACACTAGAAACTTTACAGATTAGAAAGTATTTTCTGAATGATTTTCTAAACAAACAACCATATATTTATTATTGAAAATCTTTAACATTAAGGCAAATATTTAGTTATGCACTGACTCTGAAAATAGGGAAAAAGGACAATCAACTAAAGTTATATCAACTAAAGCAAATTAAAATCTTAGTAAATAAAAGAATTATTTTGCACATTAAGAAAATATATCAAAAGGTTAATGTTAGTTCCAATTCTCCATTTCATAATGAGGAATCATATATACGATTCCCAATGCATGGTGATTTTACTTACAGTTTTTTGCTTTTACTTTCTCATATGCATTCGGTAAAAATTGCACTTTGAACTGTGATCTCTTCCCAGACTAGAAATATGTAGTATGTTCCTGTCTTGTGATGCTGGGCAGCAGCAGCAAGCAGCAGCTCTGAGTCAGCCACACAATCACAAGGACAAGAAACTGATTTCACAGTGTACTGTATTGCTAATTGTGATGTTTGATGTATTAAGTACACAAATGCACTTTTGTCTTATGATATTTTCAACTTATGATGAGTTTATTGGGAGGTTATCCAACTGTAAGTCAAGTAGCATCTGTCTTTTCCTCTCATTCTTAGAAATTCAAATGATACTATATCTACAAAAACCTTAAAGTTTTACCTCCCCTAAAATTATCTGCTCATAAAGTTCTTGGGTCAAAGGCACATAAGATTTTTCCAAGTTATCCATAAAGTAAAGCGGATCAGAAATTTTGAGTGGATTAAATCCTTCTTCCACCAATTGAACCTTCTGTAGTTTGAATGTCCCTGTTGTTTCCATTTTTTCCTATAAAACAATTACCCAGATGAGTGGAGTAATTTATTACTAACATAGTCATTATATATAAATAAAATATTTAACATTGTAGGCTATAATATTTAGCTATAACATTTTATATTTAATAATCTTCATATAAAATTATGAACATAATAAAAGGATTAGAAGTATGTTTAAAACACATAGTCTATATTCTCAATTCAATGCCAAAACAATGTGATGTAGACAAATTACTATTAGAAGTTAGGAGTTAAAAGCTATAAAAGACAGCAATTTCTAAACAAAGAACACATAAATCTATTACACAAGACAGAATACCTTGGTATCAGAGAGGATGTAGAATATTTTAAAACCTGGGTTCCCAAACTTGGGGTTCCTCAGCAAGTTTTCAAGGACCTAGAGACAACTTAAATTTTCAAGAGAAAGCCAATAACAAATCATGGTCAACACTCATAAACTACTAGCCCAAGGTAGTTCACAGTTTCAATAGTAGTTAGTGATACATTCCTTTCAATTACATCATAATTTTTACAAAGTGGGTTTTTAGTGGTTTCTCTGACACAAATCAAGTTTGTTAAAAATCAAAGTGAAACATTAAATTAGTCCCTGTCTTGTCCAGTTCAATCTAACTCAAAAGTTTGAAGAGCTGTATGGTGCCCAATTAATATCTCTTCAATAAGTAATTATGGTTGTTGGAAAGTCAAGTAAAAGGTTTTTAAAAAAATTATATATTGTCTTTTTCAGATGGCTGCTGATTTGTTAGACACAAATATTTATTATTTTGACCTAAATAGTGAATAAATAAATGTTTGGCTATTTGTTTTGATTCAAGAGTGCCATAACAAATATTACTGAAACACTGAAAGTACCACGAATCTAGAAAGCTTAAGAATACTTGCTTTAAGGTTTTAAAGGAGAGGACAGTGTATCTCTTTGGGGAGTTTCAGGTATGGAAAAACAACCTTGTTTAAATTAGATGATCTCTTGGAGATCTATAAAATTCATATAACATTCTATGAGGATTTTTCCCATTCTCTTCACACTTCTGAACAATTTAAGAGTAAACCACACTTGGAGCCTCTTCCTTTCTTCCCTCTCCCTTCTCTGCAGAGGCAAGATTTTCATCATAGAATTAGATGAATCTGTGTAGGGATATATCTTCTCCTTTTTAGGAAAATTAGAAATTCACTTTATTTATACAATTTGGTGTCTGTCTCTTTAAAGCTACAGGTCATATCATTGTCTTTAAATTAACACTTTAAAAAAATAAATTTCAGGACATTGGAATAGACTAGCATTTATTTGGACAAAACCCCACAAGCATGGGATGTGAGAGAAAAAGTAGACAAATGGGACTATATCAAACTAAAAAGCTTCTATACAGCAAAGGAAACAACAGAGTGAAAAAACAAACTATAAAATGGGAGAAAATATTTGTAGTATACATCTGAATAGGGGTTGATATTCAGAATATACAAGGAACTCTAAAAACTCAATAGCAAAATAGGAACAATGATAAGTTGATCTTAAAGTAAGCAACATACTTAAATACTCATTTCTTAAGAGAATACATACAAATGGCCAACAGATAGATGAAAAAATGCTCACGTCACCAATCATCAGGGAAATGCAAATCAAAACCAGTATAAGCTATTATCTCACCCAGTAAGAGTGGCTATTATCGAAGACTAAAGATAACAAGTTCTGGTGAGGAGAAAAGGCAACTCTTGCTTATCATTGGTGGGAATATAAATTAGTTCATCTATTATGGAAGAGTATGAAAGTTTCTCAAAAAATTAAAAATATGATTATCATATGGTCCAGTAGTCTCATTGCTAGGTACATATCTAAAGAAAATGAAATAAGTATGTCTGAAAGATAGTTACACTCCCATGTTTATTGCAGTTCTATTGACAGTAGCAAAGATGTGGAAACAATCTAAGTGTCCATTAGAGGATGAATGGATAAAAAAAAATGGTAGATACATACCATAGAAAACCATTCTGCCATAAAAGAAATTAAATCCTGTCTTTTGTAACAATGCAGATTTAACTGAAGATCATTAAGTGAACAAAGTCAGACACAAAAAAACAAGTACCACAGATCTCATTTATATGTGGAATCTAAAAGTTGACCTCATAAAAGTTAAGAGAATGGTGGTTACCGGGGGCTGGGGAAAGAGGGAGAGGGAGGAAAGGATAGGGAAAGATTAATCACTGGGTAGTAAATTATAGTTAGATAGGAACAAAAAGTCTATAGAAAGCAATAATGTAAGTTTTAAAGAACATTTCAGAAAGATACAAAAAAGGCTTTTGAAAGTTTGCACCATAAAGAAATAATAAATGACTTAAACACATTAGAATATATACATGCATCAAAACATCACGTGGTACTCTAATTCATACAATTTTATGTTTTTAATCATCAGTTAAAAATAAATTTTAAATGGCTTTATAAGATCTTATGTAGCCATTACATTTTAATTAACCTTGCCTTCATTTTTGAGCTAATACAGAAAAATAAAAACTTTTACTACTATAAATAATACTTTGAAAACCAACTTTGTATGTAGCATTTGTGCATCTTTTACTATTTCTTAAGAATAAATTTATGGTAGTTAAAGCACCAAATCAAAAAATACGTCAATTCTTAAGGGTTTGATCATATATTACCAAATTGTTTGCTAGAGAAGTTAAGATTATTTATTTTATCAGTTGCAGGATGAAAGGATCACAGCTGTACTGAGTATTATCACATTTAAAAATTTTTGTAAATCATTGGCAAGAGTCCTCTTAAATCTTTTTTGTGCTGGAGTTTTAAATAAATAGTTGTTTTACTCATTTTGTCAAAAGTAATTTTAAATTTTGTATTACTTTTATCAGATACTTTATTACTATAATTAATTTTATTAAATAATTCTTTTCACTGCTTAGTGTCAAGCTTTAAGTGTTAGGTTTTGTGCTAATGATAGCAAATATTGTAATAAATGAAATCATGGAATTTTAGATATTTAATGACTTTAAAATATTTTCTAAAGTTGTCCAAAAACGCTGTAAGTCTGTTAGAGTAATCTTTTGCCCAAATATATCTTCTCTTTAATGAAAGTGAATTTTAAGTTTCCTTGGAAGAAAAAAAATGCTTAAAATGTCATTTGTTCCACTAACTTTCTATGAGATCAAAAGATGTTACTTATGGGGTAAGGTTGAAAAGAACGGAGAGGATTGGGTGTGGTTATAAAATGACAGCATGAAGAACACCTTCAGGTGTCAAATTGTTTCTATATTCATGGCTCCATGAAGCTACACAGACAATAAGATCATATAGAAAATATACATACATGGAGAACATGTAAGTATGCAAGTAAAATAAGAGACATTTTGATGGGATAGTTGGGTTATATCAATATCCTGGTTGGGACAGATGTGGTTTGGGTTGAAGTGGGTAAAAGATATGTAAGATCTTTCCACATTAATTCTTAAAACTAGATGTTAACCCACAACTTTCTCAATAAAAATTTCAATTAAAATATATTACTTTTGCTTCATATTTGTTTTCTATTAGTACTTCAGAGGGCTGTTACGAAATTAATTTCAAACACTGCATGTAAAATTCTTAAGGATATGCAAATAAAATACGTAGTTATGACAGTTCGGATGATGTATGCCATGGGACAAGCAATAACTTGGCTATCAGGATTGCCTGGCAAATTCTTTAGAAATGAACCTGATAACACCTACTGATCCATTGATAATAGTAATACAACAAATGTATTCAGAAAGATTCTGAGTGATTTGCTGATAAGAGATAAGTATTATTTATCTTTGGGAAATTATATTTGAGGCACTATGTTTATAAGTAAATTACTGGGTAAATGAGTAAGCGAAGATACCAAGTTGAGTAAACTCTTTCTCTTTTTACTGAATACTACATCCAACAAAAGCACTCTTTTCCCCAAAATTCTGGTTCACGAACTTATCCACGATTCTGGTCACAAACCAAACTGGACAAGAACTGCATTTAAATTCTCTTAAGGTCAACATTGAGCTTAACCATTGAATTTGATTTGGTTCTCATCCAATTCAGTTTGCAAGCAGAATCATGGAGAGAATTAAGTTCGTGAAATGAAGTACCACTTAATCTAAAAGATGTAATATTATATTGTTTTTAAGCCACCTCCTGATTTCTGATTTTAGGTTTGAGTTAGACTGCAGCATTACCTGAATTCTTAAAAATCGTGGGCAGGCATAAGATGGTAGCGATGTTACAACTTGTTCATAAACTTTTTCTAAGTTTAAAGACTTATTTGGTTTTAAAATAATGGAACCCATTCCTGCTTTTCCTTCATAACCTGAAAGAAAGTTTGATATAGAATCAAATTTCAATACCAGATGAATTAAAGTCCTGCTAACATATTCATTGCCACAGAGGCTTTTAAACTATTGCAGTGATAACAATGAAACAGTATTCTAAATCAGTGTGTGTGTTTCCCTAGAAATAATTTAAATAGAGTAATCTATTTCTAATTGTCTATACTACAGACATAAAATGCATAGAATGGAAAATTGAAATTACCCATAGTTTGCATCCCACCACCACTAGCAAAAGTACTAAGACAGAAAGCATTTATTTAAAGGCAAAAATATTCCAATGGGAATGCACATTTTAGACATTAATGCAAAAAATAAGACATATTTTTCAGTTGTAATTAGGAACATGTGTTTCCTTAATCAATCCCATAGATTGCTCACTGCTTACCATGCTGGATCTTAGGTGGATCAGATCATACTGGAGCCTTTCTCAAATACCCTATGGTGGTTTATTAAATAAATATCCCCTTTGTTCTCCTAGTGGAACGCTCCCATGCTATCTCCCAATTTTGTAAGAATTAGGTGGAGAATATTTTCAGTTGTTAAAAACCAAACAAACCAGGCTGGGGATTTAGCTCAGTGGTTCCATCGCTTGCCTAGCAAGCGCAAGGACCCGAGTTCGATCCCTGGTACCAACAAAACAAAACAAAACAAATAAAAACAAAACAAAACAAAAGACAGCAAAAAAGAACAGCTATGCTGTGACTTCAAATTGATCACTTTTCCACACCATTTTCACCATCACAAAATACATATATATTATGTTACATGTGCTATGCTATAATATACAATTGCATGAGGCCATAAAAATTTTAAAATAATTTTAAAAGACAAGATTTTAAAAGAACAAGTTAATGTTATTAAACATTTAAACAAGAGCACACTGTGTTTTTTGGTAACCGGAATTGAACTCTGGTCCTTGCGCTTGCGAGGCAGGTTCGGGAACCACTGAGCTAAATCCCTGGCCCCGGAGCTCATTCTTCTTTAACGGTATGTAAAAGCCCCAGTCAAATAATGAACTATTGAAAAGTTTCAACTATTCTGAAACAGTGAGTCACTCAACAAAAGTTTCAAGCTCTGTTTAGAAAGACACATGGATATTAAAATATGTTCAGTGCATTTCTCTTAATGTGCCCATGGAGTTAGTTTAGTCAAACAAGAATATCACTTGCCAAGTCTAAGATGTTTATTTTAATATCTAAAAATTAAAAAGCTGAATCAGTAAAATAATTTAAAAACTAAAGTATACTTGTACATTACATTCTGAAAATTCTTCAAAATCAGAAATCTACTCGTACCTGACACAGCCACACCATAGACATTTGTTTCCTGTATGAAATCCAGCATTCCAATAACATCAGCAACCTCTGTGGTTGCCACATTTTCTCCTTTCCATCTAAATGAAAAACAAACTCCAGTTAGTGCACTGTATTTGAAACATCAGGCACACACTTGTACTTCTAATGCCTTGCATTTGGTTCTGTGCAAGCACCTTCTGATCAAAAATAACTAGTTTTCCAAACAAAAGTCGTTTCTAAGGAAGCACTTCATTGGCTAAGTCAAAAAATCAAGATCTAGATTTTGGCCAAAATTACTTTCCCTAAGCCTTAATGGTAAAAATTCTTACTGCAAAATGTTTTATAATAACATCAAAAAACAAAATAATAAAATAATGATAATGATTAATATTAAAAAATCTTTATTTTGTAAAATAACAGTATTAAGTACACAAATATCCTTATTTTTGATGATGAGGATATAAGGAATTAAAATAAAAGCTATGGTTATCCTTTATTTTTCCTTTATTTATTTATTTTTCTGTTTTTGAGAAAGAGTTACACTATGTCAGTATATTGCCTGGGCTGGTCTTGAACTCCTGTCCTCAAGCCCTCCTCCAGCACCAGCCTCCCAAGTAGCTAGGACTACAGGTATGTGCCCCTGTGCCCAGCCTAGAGCTGCCTTTCAGTATACAGAGTTCAACTTACAGGTATTAATTCCTTCAGCTCCTTTAATTTATGTGAACATTTTATTTTAATTCAAGTAATTTCATACAAAGTGAGCTTTTAACACAGTACAAGAAGGCAAGAAAAGAAGAAGTATAATTTATTAATTCAAGTATTTGTTAGATGTTTACCCTAAGCCTTTACTATTTTATAGTCATTGGCTACTAAAGCAAAATAATTTTATAGACCTAAAATATTTTAGGAGATTAAAAACAAGAAATAGAAAAAAATTTTCTCTTTCTATATTTTTTTATTAAAAGAATTAGACCATCTTGACCAAACTGATTTTCTGCCTAACATTACCATTTAGAGTTCACATTTGTCTGGGAGTTTTAAATTCTAAAAAAAGGAGCTTATTGATTTACACTAAACTAATTCATTAAAATTGTTATAGAATTGTACACCAAAATTTAACTTATGGTCCAATCTAGAAACAAATGGTCAATAGATTTTTAAGTAAGGAGGCATTATAGAGACAAAAGGCCTCTGTCTGCTCTGACAGCTAAAGATTAAGTGGTCTCCAACGTTTCCATAAAAGCACAGCTCACAATTACAGATCAAGTCAGGCTTGATGTAGTTCGCACCTGAATGTGTCTCCAATACGATCCCAAAAATAAAGGAAATTCTCCTGATCTTGGACCATTAAGTCTCCTGTGTTAAAGTAAACATCTCCCTTCTTGAAAACATCAAAAAGCAGTTTGTTTTTTGTGTGCCTGTAAGACCCAGCATAACCAAAGAAGGGATTCTTTGTATTCACTCGAGAAATGAGAAGTCCAGGTTCTCCTGCAAGAGAAAAGGACATTTTTCGCAACAATCTGATTAAAACTATTGTTACATATATCTAAATGATGTCTACCTAACCCAATCACTGTTGCTCATCTCACTTTCCTTTGAATTTATTTCTATCCTATTTGACTTCACCTGCTCTCAGTGTAGATGCAGGTACATCCTTTCGAAGATTACCAATAACACAAATTTGGAAAAACCAACAAAAAGGGAATTGAAAGTAAAAGAAAAGTGTACTAAATTTCTTTAACTTTCTGAGTCGATTGCCCAATAGCTATTTTCATTTTGGATTACATAGATTTTAACACAGAAAAATATTGACAACAACATAAATAACAACTCTAATAATAATTTTAATAGAATGATCAGCAAATATTTACTGAATACCTACCATGGCCTCCTTTCAACTTTCATTTTACTTATTCTTTCAGAAATCATTTGAAATTGATATTATAAGTCTTATTTTATGAGCAAGGAACTAATTCCCAAAGGAGTGAAGTAAGTTGTCTCAGAGAAAGAAATAGTCCTAGAACTCAAATTCAAGTCTCCATGATTTTGTGACAAACTTCCTGTAAACTACTCACTCTAATAATATTGATATGCTATTAGAAATTTTTAGAAATAGTGTACTACTCTAGGATGCTATTCTGGGAATCTTTGATAGGAAGATTAAAAGTTCTCAAAAGACTTAATGTTCTTTGTTTTTCTTTTTCTGTGAGTTTCTGTGAGCTGTGAGTTTCTTCCCTGACAAACTAATGATTGCAAATACTAGGTCACAGTGTGTTCATATCACTCTTGTTTGGGCATAATTTACATTGTGAAGACACCATGCCTTAATGGAAAAAAACTGAGTAATTTATATGAGAATTCTCAAATAATAAAGGAGATATTTGGGGGTCAAATAGCATTTTAAGAAACTCTGAGACCATATACATAGTTCTGAGATTCAAATCCCAATATCAGATATTACTGTAATTGTAATCAAACACTTGTATTTTTCTGAAGAAAAAACAACAACAAAAAAACAACTTGTGTTTAAGCTCTTTGCAACCTCTTCAGAAACTGCTTTTTTTAAATTGCAAAGTGTCTGAAGAGTTGAATTAGAGAAACATGTTTGATTGATGCCTTTAGATTTGAAATTCAGAGAACTGGAGAATTTTTGATAATAAAAAAGCTGATATTTTTCAGTCTGTCAGCTACCAGAACATTAAAAACAAGTTTGCAATCTATGTTTCCACATTTGAAGTAAAAATTTAGGCAGTCATCTCTGAAATGCAGTTTGAGGCAGTACAAGGCAGTAAATAATAATCTTGACCTGTTTTATTCAGATTGAATATCTAAATAATACTAAGTGCACATCTCTACATTTCATTTTACTTTTAATTTGATTATATGTAGCTAATTTTGGCACTTTCCTTCATTATAATTTATAGCCTCAAGTTGTAGGTCTATCTTGTGAAAAGAGGTGATAGAAGAAAGAGGAGAGAAAGGGAACAAGCTACGGGGATTTACACACACCTCATTTAATTGTCAATGATAGCCGCATGAAATAAATGTTATTATCTCTAATTCACATACGGAAATGAAACCCAGATTGACTAACCTGCCCATAGTTGCAGTTTCTAAGTATGAAAGTCCAAAGTTAAATCCACTCTGGCCTGACTTTTCACCATATCCAGAATAACATATCACTTCATGATATAGAACATTAGTCACATGCCACTATTACAAACTAGAAGTGGTAGATTAAGCAAAACAGCTAAACAATGGCCACTTTTAAATTTTAATAATTTACCCTCCAAATGACCCCTTGAGGGCTATCAATAGCTAATAAATAATTAAGCCATCCTACCTGCATTCAAATTCCAAATAAGTCAAATTGTAAATTAGGACTAGTAATTCTTTGTTCTCTAAATTCAGTGATTGGAAATTTTGCTTAAGCAGACATCTTCATATATGAGACTTACCTTTTTTCACACGACTACACCAGTCTTGTTCATTTCTCATGGGTTCATCTTTCTGAAAATCATACTTTATCAATTCAAAATTGAAAAAAAGCTGCAAAAAACAAAATCAAGCTAACAAAAACAAGCATTGAGTTATTTGTGCCATGACGTCTACTGATTGTTGATTTTATGGTCAGCTGAAGTAACTAGAATATGGCTTTATTAAAACAAATTAATTTTACTGAGGAAAAATTAAATAACTACTTGTAACACAACTGGAGGTGCTAGTGAGCAGCACTCTTTTATTGGCATTTACTTTTATTTCTTTTATGTTATACTTTATCTTAGAAAAAAGTTACTAAATTTTAATTATGAATGAATTATATAAGATACAGATACAATCCAAGCACTTATTTACATATTCTTCTAACTATAGATGAAAAGATGGTCATTCATACCATCTTTTGAAAAGGAAAAATTGATTAGAAGTAAAATATGAACTAGGAGAATGTCAGGATTTTGTTTATTGTTTCCCTGCAGTGTCTAGAAAAGTGACTGAATGACTAAAAAGTACAGTTATTTGATAACTACTTTGACCTTTTCATCTAGGAATTTCACATTGATACTCCTAAACTAACATTCAGTACTTCTATAAACTATTGTGGAGTGAGATAAAAAATTGTTTGTCCAGCCCCATAACATTCGGAGCTGAGCTAACTGAATATCTCCCCTGATGTCCATGGATTTCTAGTTACTTTGACCCTGTAATGTCCTTATTACCATTCTATGCTGACATATAGTTCCACTAAATTCTGATCATGGGAGAGTATTGAAGATTGGTTCAATCCAACCCTCTCATTTTATATATAAGGAAACAGAGGTCTTACTGATAATTAAACAGGTAATCTTATTAAGTTGAATTAGAAAATCATAAACTAACATAGAGGCAATAAAATGAAATGAGAGAAAATTCTAAGGTAAGACAAATAAGAGAGAGAAAACTGGAAGGCAGGAGGAGGAGAGAACAAATAAGTGGGAAAAGAGGAATAATATGAGTGAGGTAACTGAATTAATATTACTTACTATAATATTAATATAATATAATATTACTTACTATAATGATTTCTGATCATTAATCTTGGTAACATCAGCCTGTATTTGTCACAGTTCATTATTTGGATTAAAATACAAATGAGAGCCACTAATATCCATTGAGTACTAACTATATGTCAAACACTTAAGAGCACAAGAGCTGTGTTTAATTTAAGGATCAAAACACTGTATGGGACAAAATTAATGTTATCCTGTTTTAAGATTAAGGCCAACAGAAAGAGACATAAACATTCTGTATTAAAATGCAAACCTTGTACTTGGAAATGAAAGAGCTATTTCAGAGTATGTATGAAAGAACCAAAGCTGTACTCAGTGAAAACCAACATCTCACACTTCTTTCCAGACTTGTTCTGAAGAAGTTTTCTACTTCCTAGGTTCAATTTATGTCAAAGTATTTAAATTAACGTCTGTATTTTGCTGCTATTTTAAAAGGGATTGTGTTTTTTATTTGTATTCAAGCAGTTGTTAATGTACAGATATGGTATTATTGATTTCTACAAGTTTATTTTGTATCTTTCAACTTGACTGAAGTTCCTTATTAAATTTATTTATCACAAAAAACCAAAATGCAAACCTGCATTTTGTTGGCCTTTGTATTTGGGAAAGCAAAATATTGGCCACTTGCCTAATGGCTGCTTGAAAGAAAGATTCCAGAAGTTTTGGAACTGCCTTTATTATCTTTGTCAAATTAAAACAGAGCCCTTTCATTATTCATTCTTTTCTCTCCTGTTTTAACATGCTTTGGTTTAAAAGATAAATTAGTATATGTCATTACCTATGCTTATCATTTTTACATCATATCATTAAACTTTAAAACTGGACAAAAAATACATATCATTAATCACATGTCATAGACGGAAAACATGGGAGATAACTGGGCTTTGGATAACCTGTAACACCGTAGTTCATTTACAGCAAATACTTAAAGAAGAGCTCAACTTTTTAAAAAAGTAATAATTATAATTTATAAAGTCTAGGAAAAGGGTAGCCAACTTCATCGTATTTCTTTTAGAAATATAATACTATACTTACTTTGTAAAAGCAATTTGTTCGCCCAACTGACCCAATTTTCCCAGTGTGGTTCATGAAACAAATGTTTCCTTCAGTAGCTCCATAAAATTCACACATCTTAATATTTCCATATCTGTCTAAAAATTGTCTCCATACATCACTTCGTAAACCATTTCCAACTGCCAAACGCACCTGGTGATATTTTTCTCCTTCTCTCTATTGGGAGAAAAGATGTTTCTTGGAATTAATTCCAATTCTTAATTCTTCATTCATTATTATTATTTAAATGGCAAACAGAAACCATATATGCACAACAGAAGAGAAGTGAAAAGAAAACTTATGTAAATATGTTACAGAACTGTGTCCAGCAGCTAACAAAAAGCAGCACTGACCAAGAGTGAGGGATACAGTTTGTCCTTCCCCATATCTAGAACAAGTTCTTTCAGAGTTCTTGATTACATAAGACTTTGTTTTTAAAATTGTAGATATCAGGTAAAAAGAAAGCACATTTCAGAAAAAATATCATTACTTTTAAAATATTATAAAAATATAAATTATGCTTGATTTTATTGTCCCAAGGCTATAATTTATTAGCTATTTAATTTTGAATAAGATGTTGACTCCCACTTTATCAGTATATTCATCTGTAAAACAAAGACAGTACCTAACACACTTATACACTGCAGTCTTCAGTTGATTCTCAATGCCTAGCATAGCGTGAACAGCAAGTTGAGGCCACAGAATCAATAAAATATTTGACTTGAAATGTTATGACAAGTATATGTGGCTACTATTTTAGGATGTGCTATATTTTCATGATTTCATTTCTATTTCATATTTTAGCATTAAAGGAAAAATAAGATTATGTTTTGTTGTATATTCAATAAACACTATTGATTAACATGATTATACATTGATCTAAAATTGAAGTAAGACTATATTGTCAGTTTATTCATAATAAATCCATGGTTTTTTTTCAAAACCACCTCATCATCACCAAAACTAATACAAAACTACTAGAAGTAATATTAAAGAATACCAAGAGTAAAATAGAAAAATCAATGTCCAGGGTACTTACAATTATTTGTCTGAAATTCTTTTTTAATCACCCCTAAAATAGCTTTGAAAGAAAGAATTTAGTCTATAAACTCACAAAAATAAAAATGAGAGGTAATTTTGGGGCTTAGAAAGTGAATAGATATAAAGTATGTGACTAAGCAGAATGGATAGATCTGAAATCTAAACCTGCAGGTGAATACCGAGTATATGAGCTTGCAAGTTTTAAGCAAGCATCAGAAAGAATAAGAAAGGAAGAAAACTTGAAATTTAAGAGATGAGTATACTGCTAGACATCTTAATACAGAAAATATAGAGAGTCTGCCACATCTTGGCCAAATACTGGAGAGTTACTATCTGGAGAAGTCCAGTCAGATGTAGGAATAGTTCAGGTGTAGGAAGCTAATGGAAACAGGAGTTGAACAAAAGCCTAAATAACACCCGATGAGCTCACTGAACTTTTAAGCTTCTCTGATCTTAGAACACTGGGATTCAGAATTATAAACTAGAACAGGAAAATCTTGAGTTGTTGAAGAAACTGATCAATCCAAGATAAAACATATTGACTTTTAGAAGTATTTCAGTGAAATAGTTTGAACTACCCCCAGTCATCCTAGAACCTGATCCTTTTGGAGACAAGATCTAGCCATGTGCATCAGATTTTTAGTACTTCAGTCTGAAACATGATTAAAGCACAGATTTTTTTAAAGCATGGGAAACACACCAAAGGAAGTAAAAAATATTTGTGCTACAATAAAAAATTTTAAATCAAAAGGATTAAAACGAATAATTGATAAATTGAAATAGGAAGAAAAAGTCCAAAGGGGTAGGGGTGGTGGGAAGGGAAGGGGAATGGAAAGAAGGGAAAGGAAAAATTATGAGAAAAGAAAAAAATGGAAAAGAAGTCTATGTAAATAGGGAAGGGTGGAGGGGGTGAAGGGCACACAGGTAATGGGGAAAAAATAAGAACCAAGATACATCATGTACAGGTACAAGCACCCAATGATAAATGTAAATGAATTGTATACCTAAAATGTACCAATAAAAGAATTTAAGGAAAAAAATTTTAATCCATGTAAGTGTATTCCTATAAAACAGTAGGAAGAATAGAAAAGTAACATCTGAAGAAATTTTAACTGAGAATTTTCTAAAAGTGATGAGAAAATATTAAGCTACAGAATCAAGATTTTAAAATGTCACACAGGATATGTACCAGAAAAAATATGCTTGGACATTTTCCAATAAAATTGCTGAGAATTAAAAATACAAAAATGAGAGGAAGAGAAGAGGAAAGAGTTTTAAAAGTGTCCAGAGAGAAAGAAAAACACCATTTCAATGGAGACAACATAATTACTGTTGTTCTTTCAAAAATAACTAGAGAATCTAGAAGAAAATAGGATAAGACATTTACCATATTAAAAGAAAATAACTGTAAAACTAGAATTTTATACTCAGTGAAACCACCATTCAAAACTAAAGGCAAAAGATATATTTCCAGACAAATAAAAACTAAAATGTATGGTTTTTGTAGAGTGATACTATATGGGACACTAACAGAACTTCTTAAAACAAACGACAAATAATATCATGTAGGAGCAAACAAATAAACAAAAAGCAAGAAAGAATGAAGAGGACCAGAAAATGCAAGTATGTTGGATCATGTAAATGAATATTGATTTGTTAATTAAACTTAATAATACTTTTAGGATTTTAAATATGTAAAATTAGAGTAGATGATAATAAAACCTAAAAGATTAAAGGTAAATAGAATTAAATAGTATAAACCCTTGCATTGTCAAATAAATCCAAAACATGCTGTTTTGAAATAGAATTAATAAGTTAGGAATGAATGTTATACTCCTTAAAGTAAGAAAATGCTCAAGGAAAATATTTAGAGTGATAAAAGAAAATGAAAGGTCTTGTATCTAAAGAGTCAAAGAAAAATTTAGTAATAAAATATCACTTCAAAAGAAGACAAAAAATGGGAAGAGGAACAAATAACATGAAACAGAGAGGAAAATATGGCATGAGGAAATATTTAAACCCAATCATATCAATAAATATATTAGTTATAAATTGATTAAGTATTGTCTTGAAAAGACTCCAAGCATACATAAAAAATTACAGCCCAATTATATATTACTTACAAGTATCATAAAAATTGAGAGTAGATGCAATCATCACCCTAGAGGAAGCTAGTGTAACCATGCTAATATCACATGCTGTAGACTTTAAATAAATATTTTCACAGATAAAGTGACATTTAATAATAATAATAATAAAAGGACTAATTTACTCAACTGAAGGATAGCAAACCTAACTTCCTATTTATTTAATAATGTCAAAATATGTAAAGCAAAAATTGAAAAAAATAAAAGGAGAAATAGATAAATCTGTTTTCAACTTACCTCTGTAGTTTTTTTTTTTTGTATAACTTTTTATTGGTACATTTTAGGTGTACAATATAATGGCATTCATCATTGGAGACATGCACCTTTACATACTCTCTTGGTTCTCATTTTTTCCCCCTTCCCCTGCCCTCCCTTCAACCCCTCCATCCCTCCCTAATTACAAAGACTTTGTTTCCATTTTTTTCTGTTCTCTATTAATTCCATTCCCTTCTTTCCTTTCCCCTACCCCTCCCACTTCCCCCTCCCCTTTGCTCCTTTTCTTCCTATTTCATATTATCCATTATACCTTTTAGTCTTTATTTACACTTTTAGTACCTCTGTAGTTATTGATAGGGCAAGAGAGAAAAGAATAATAAGAACAATGAAATTTGAAGAAAATTAATCATTACCCAATTTATGTACTTAGAACAGTACCACAGATCATTGAAGAATATATATTCTTCTCAAGTGCCCATGAAGCATTTTGGAAAATAAATCAGTCATATCCCAAGTTTTATATCAAGCTTTAACTAAATTCAGAGCACTAATGTTTATTCAGAGTATGTTCTCTGACTGTAATAAAATTAAGTTAGAAATTAATTACAGGAAAACTAGTAAATCTCCCAAATGTTTGGGTAGTAATATGATTTTAAGTAACCTACAGATAGAAAAAATTACTACATAAATTAGAAAAAATTGAATTGAATGATAAGAAAAATAAGACAAAAACTAAAGAACTAGGCAAATCAATGCTTTGAGGGAAGTTTATAGTGTTAAAGAGGAAACATTTGAAAAGCTAGTCTGCATTCTTTGTAATCTATCAATCTACCTAATAAGAAAAAGCAGATACTACATAGAAAAATAGGAAAAACTATATTGAGAGATAATTAATAATATTAAATGTATTGTGCATTGTGTGTGTATACGAATACACACACACACACACACACACCCATATATATGGTCTGATATATGATAAACTATCTTTTCAAGGATGTTTATCCAACAAACAGCACATGTATTATTAAAAATTACTTTAGACATATAGTCTGACATATATGTATGTATGTTTATATGACATACATTACATAATTATATATGTATGTAAGGTACAAACATAGCTATATTATATGGAATTATTAATTAATAACTAATTATGTGTCAGATTAATATATATTACACTATCTTGTCAGGCAGGGATGTTTATGTAGCACCTTGGAAGGTAGACATAGCCTTTGGGTTATAGAGAAAATTTACTTAATTACTTAATGAAACCTCTTTCCTCTTCTGAAGGGCAAATTTGCCAGATGCCCCTTAAGTGACTGAGAACATTCTAAGGACAGTATTTCTCAGCTGTGGCCTTGACCTATGCCACAAACATAGCATCTACCTGGACCAACTTGTATATTGTCTCTTTAGTGCATGAAGGGATAGGAGATTGTTGTAGACATAAGGTGTGAGCAGGAGCTAATGATACCTCTGTGCTCTGAATAATAAATCATATAAATTCATTTGAGCTCATTACTTCCTTACGAATTTTCTTAGTTACTTTTCTCGTTGCTGAGGCAAAATACTAGACATCCAAAGTTAAAGGAGGAAAGTTTTATTTTGGCTCATGGTTTGGGGAAGTTTCAATCTATAATCCGCTGGCTCCAAAGCAAGGTGTCATGGTAGATAGGCATCGCAGAGCAGGCAGGAGGCAGCAGCAGCAAGTAACATGCGACAAGTAACAACCACCTTTCTGTCCCTTATATCTTATCCACTCTTAAT